TATTCTATTCTATTCTATTCTATTCTATTCTATTCTATTCTATTCTAATCTAATCTAATCTAATCTAATCTAATTCTACTCTACTCTATTCTTATTCTACTCTACTCTACTCTTATTCTATTCTAAAAGGTTCACCCCTTTTGAAGATGGAATATGATTGGCAGCGAAGAGAAGAGCTCAGTCACTCTATTCACACCATAGATGTTTTGCAAAACCCGTGGCTGCAGGCACACATGTTAAGCCTAGTTAGAGTTCGTGTTGCTTGGCTTTGTGGCTTAGCATATCAGTCCCCAACCTTTATGGCTTGGCGGCCTGGCAGAGGGAGAGAGGGGAACTGGCCCATGCGCATGGTGGGCCAGTGTGCGCACATGCACTAGTCTGCCGCTCGCACTAGTCAAGCAGCATGTGTGTGCCAGCCAGCCATTCATGCGGCCCACTTCCAAACCAGCCATGGCCTGGGTGTTGGGGAAACCCTGGCTTAGCATGTGATGTGAATGTGAGCTACTGTGAAAAACCCACTAAGTATGTCATTTGCCCAGCCTCTGGAGCAGGGGTCGCCAATCTTTTGGTCCTCACCAAACCCATAATTTTAAATCCTGTGGACCACTAATATGAACTTTGACTGGTGGTGGTTTGCTGACGTTTTCCCAGGATCTCTGCAGAAAGCAACAGAGACCCTGGGAAAATCCCCCAAAATGTCTGCAGGAAAATTCCCCACCCCATTTTCCTACCGATCGATCATTCTTTATTTGAGATCACGGGATGCTCTCTCCAGCTCTGTTGACAGTGGGAGGGAGAGGGAGAGAGACTTTTGGCTTCATGCAAGGAAAGCAGCAGAAGTCTTTCTTTCTTTCCCCCAAACTCCGCCAGAAATGAGTCTTTGACGGTGCAGCCTCTTGGAGCAGGATGCCTTGCAGGGTCCCAAAGACTGATTTCTGGCAGAGTTTGGGGGAGAGAAAGAAAGACTTTTGCTGCTTTCCTTGCGTGCAGCCAAAAGCAGAAGAAAGAAGCGGAAAGAAGCAGCCCGGTGGCCGGGCGAGTCATGTGGGGCAAGTTCCCCCTCCTCCCCTCACTATCTTGTGTTGTTCGCAGTGCAAGCGATGCAAGCCTTGTGTTTCCACAGGCCGTGTGAGCGGCACAGCCTTGTGTTCCTGTGCAGCCTGGATTAATTGCTTTGGGGGTGACATTTCTCTGTAGACCACCAAAATTTTCTCATGGACCACCAGTGATCTTTGTTCCACTGGTTGGCAACCACTGCTCTGGAGGATATAAATTCCTAGGTAGGAATAACAGAGTTGGAAGGGACCTTGGAAACCTTCTGGTCCACCACCACCACCACCCCGCTGCTAAAGCAGGAAACCCTATACCATTCCAGACATGTGGCTGTCCAGTCTCCTTTTAAAGACCTCTAGTGATGGAGCACCCACAACTTCTAAAGGCAAGCTGGTTAATTGTTCTTCCTGTTAGGAAATCTCTTCTTCATTCTTTCTCTCCTTGATTAGTTTTCCTCCATTGCTTCTTGTTCTCTTTCAGGTGCTTTGGAGAATAGGTTGACTTGACTCCCTTCTTCCTTGTGGCAGCCCCTCAAATATTGGAACACTGCTATCATCTCACCCCTAGTCCTTCTTCTCACTAGATTAGACATACCCAATTCCTGCAACCATTCTTCCTATGTTTTAGCCTCCAGTCTCTTAACCACCTTTGTTGTTCTTCTCTGCACTCTTTCCAGAGAGTCAATATCCTTTTTAGGGCAGTAAGCAAAGTATCTCCAGAGACTTTACCAATGGTGTTCTTCCCGTAGTAGGAAGTTCTACAGTTTAGGCAAAGCTTGGAGAAGATTCCTGTCTTTTCCCTGTCCCTCGTTTTGTTTCTCTACCTGATTGTGACCAGAAGAAAACATCCATTTGAGTATTTATTTTAGTGAGCCTGGGCTAGAAGCTCTTATTCCTTGCCCTGTGTAGGAAAACCCGGAATTACATTTCTTCCCATTCCTCTGCCTGAAGCCCTTTGTCTTTCGCTTTTCTTTTCCAGCTCCCGCAGAATTCGTCCAGCATCCTCAGTCGATTGCCAGGCCTGTGGGGACCACGGCCATCTTTACCTGCTTGGCCCAAGGAGAGCCTTCCCCACAAATCACATGGTTGAAGAATGGGCAGATTTTGGAGTCGAGCAAGCACGTTAAGCTGAAGAACAACAATAGGTAAGATTCCCTGCAGAACAGCAGCGAGTCCAGCAGGCTTGGGGAATTCATCCAGAAATAGAATTGGGAGCAGGCATGCCTTGGATTTCAGGTAGTCTTCCAGAACAGCTTCATTATTTAGCTTGCAACCTGTCTTTCTGGCCAAGGGTGTCCAACTTGCTGTGTCCTTGGAGATCATTGTGGCCCTATGGGCTGAATCTCTCTGAACCTGGCTCTCTGTATCTCACCAGCACAATCTTGTTTCTCAGCAAAGCCAGAGGTGGTATTCAGCAGGTTCTGACCAGTTCTGGAGAACCAATAGCGGGAATTTTGAGGACTTCGGAGAACCAGAAAATCCCTCCTCTGACTGTCCCCGCCAACCCGATTCTCTGCCTCCCATTGACTCCCAGCTGATTGGCTGGGTCTTCTTTGGTTGCCCTGCACAGGAGAACGGAGCTGGAAATCTGGTTAGTGGGATGGAGCGGGAATGGAGATTTCTACAGTCTCCTTCCCCTGCCACGCCCACCAAGCCAAGTCCATAGAACCAGTAGTAACAAAAACTTTGAATCCCACCTCTGAGCAAAGCTTATGCACAGGGGTGGAGATTCTGCTGGTCTGGAGTGGTTCAAGTGAACCTCTAGCTCCGAAGATCAGCTGGGACTGAACTGGTTCACTCCAATGATCATGTAGGCCGGCCTGCCCACCTCTGTGCTGTACTGGCCTTTATCATCCCAGCTGATCAGTGTGGAAGAGCGGATTGCCGCTCCTCAGCTGTGTTACTCCCCCGAAGTAATGTAGCAGGTAAGGATTGTTGCATTGCTGTTCACACGCATGCCCATGCGAAGCACACAATCACCAAACCGGTTGTTATAACCAGCAGCATCCCAACCCCTGCTTACGCAGCCCTAGTTTTCCTGTGCTCGAGGAACGCAATGTTTGTATCATGGAAATAGCAGGGTAGATTGAGCCTAGTGCGAAAATTGCCACTCAGGGGGCTTGGTTTCTATGGAAATAATACAGAACAATGCCGAGGAAATAACAGAGGCCAAGCTATAAATCTCTTGGTTATAGAATCCTCTAATGAAAGATAACAGGGTTAAGTATATGACTGGAAGTCCCTGAGCACCAGCAAAAAGTTGGAAAAAAAGGAGTGAGAAAGATGCAGAATTCCTTGGCCAGAGAAATTTCTCACAGGCAGATTGGGGTGTCCCCCAAAGGCCAGAAGGGTGTTACTGAAACCACACCGTGGCTGTTGTTGTGTTGTTGAGTTTGTAAGGCTTCAGTTGCAACCACCAACATTTCCCCACCACATGGATTGTTAGTCAAGTGCCACTGTGGAAGGAGATATTAGGGAACTGCAGTCCTGTCTGGAAAACATCTGGTTGGATAAGCTCTCACATCCATCTTGTCTTGACCCCCAACATGGTATAAGATCTAGACTAGAAGACCTCCAAGGACCTTCCAATCCTATTATTCTATGTTCTATGGGAGTAGAGTAGAATTGGAATTGGAATTGGAATTGGAATTGGAATTGGAATTGGAATGGAATGGAATGGAATGGAATGGAATGGAATGGAATGGAGTAGGGTAGGGTAGGGTAGGGTAGGGTAGGGTGGAATAGAATAGGACTTCTTTATTGGCCAGGTGTGATTGGACACACAAGGAATTTGTCTTGGTGCAAATGCTCTCAGTGTACATAAAGGAAAAGATACATTCGTCAAGAGTCAAGAATCATAAGATATAACACTTAATGATAGTCATAGGGTACAATCAGCAATCAAATCATACAAGGAAAGTCAATATAAATCATAAGGATACAAGCGACAAAGTTACAGTCTTACAGTCACAAGTAGGAGGCAATGGGTGATAAGGAGTGATGAGAAGATTGATAGTAATAATAATGCAGACGGTAAATAGTTGGACAGTGTTGAGGGAATTATTTGTTTATCAGAGTGATGGCATGCGGGAAAAATCTGTCTTTGTGTCTAGTTGTTCTGGTGTGCAGTGCTTTGCAGCATCATTTTGAGGGTAGGAGTTGAAACAGTTTATGTCCGGGATGTGAGGGGTCTGTAGATATTTTCACAGCCCGCTTTTTGACTCGTGCAGTAATCTCAGTGTAATTTATGGCAGGAATGCATAATAGCTGCCATAAATTATTAAGTTTCGGTCCTTGAAATTCAATTTTCAAGAGGTGTAATGGGAAGAAATCCATTAAAAGTGGGTGGGGCTGAAGCTGGAGTGGCAGTGACCAGGACAAAGAGTAGATGAAGCTAGGATGACAATCTGAGTAACAGAATAACAGAGATGGAAGGGACCTTGGAGGTCTTCTAGCCCAACCCCCTGCTTATACCATTCCAGACAAAATGGCTGTCTAGTGTCTTCTTTAAAAGTTCCAGTGACGGAGCACCATAATCTCTGGAGACAAACCTGTGGAGATTGTCAGCCATCCAGGTCATGGCTTTTGCTTTGTTTTGTTTTTCTTGAAAAACAACAACACCTTTTTCTAGTTGTGTTTTGAAAAAGCCCCTTTGAGACTGTTATGGAAATGTAAATTTAAAAATCCCACTTTGGCTTCCTTTAAAAGCGGCATCAAACTGGCGTCGGCTTCTGGAGGGGACTTGGGTCAGGCTCAAAATTTTCACACAGGTTTGTAAAAAGCTGGTTGTAACTTGCGCGATCCCGTCCCAAACGAAACGTTGCAATCCTCCTCAGCTCCCCGAGCAAAAGCCGGCGGATTAACGCCTGCCTCCTTTTCACTCTCTCTCTCTCTGCTCTTTCTCTCCCGGCAGCCTCCTGTTCTCGGGGTTTTCTGCTTTTGACTGGCCTGTCAGGAGCAATGTGCCAACAAATGGAGGCTGGGAAGGGAGGAAAAGAGAACAAAAGACGTGATGGAGCCAGGGAGGAGGAAAGCTAATTTTGATTTAAATTACATTTACAATTAATTGCATCATCAGAATGGAAGCCGTTTAATGAAAGAGAGTTGGTGCGATTGCTCCTAAATATTTGAACTCCTTTTTTTTTTCTTCCCCTCCTCTTTGGACACATTTAAAAACAAAATCACAACCCAACAGCACATTTTTGTTGTGGGGAAGAGGTGGAGAGGGAGGCCTAGGGGTGGGAAGGCTGTGAGCTGCTAGTGCAACACCGCATTCAGAGCACGAATGAAAAGAAGAATAAAACAATTTAAAGCCGTCACCAACGAAGGCTCCTTGTTTCTCTGCCGCCAGGCTCAGTTGTGTGCATCAGGAGCATGGTTTTGTGTGTGCGTGTGTGTGTGTGTGTGTGTGTGTGTGTGTGTGTGCATATGCTGGGGGACGCGATGTGCAAACTCGGAATATAAATTGCATTAAAGGGTCTGCGTTACTGGAATGCGTTTTATCGCAACCGCAGGTAGCAAAAGGCAAGCATGTACGCGCAGAGGCAAGCTTCTAATATCGATTTTTCATTCCTTGCTGGGAGATTGTATTTACAAAATGGTAATTAAGTGGGTTTCATTCATTAATCCTGCCAAAAAGCAATTCAGAGCCTCGGCCGAGGGCTCAGGTGTCATTTGCTCTGCTCCATAAATTTGCATCTTACGAGCCTCTCCCCCTTCGCTCCCCAAAGACCCACAAATCCTAAATCCTCTTTTCTAAGTTGTGGCGGGGGGGGGGGACTGATTTCTCCTTGAATGGATTCGAATACATTGCACCAGAAACAATATTCCAATTCCTGATGTATTTCTGAGACTACTTTGCTTCTAAACCATTGATAGCTCACCTATGCCTTGCAGCATGGACATAATGGATTCCTGATGCCATGCGTCCTCATTTGGCACCAGTTAAAACTTCCAGAAACCCGTCAGGAACAACTTTGAAAAATAGTCCAGCTGTAGTACTTATTTATTTAAGAAAATGTGTAGGGCCGCCCACTCCCACTCAATGACTCTGGGAGGCTTACAAAAATTAAAAAACAAACAAACCAATGTACAGACAATGAAAACAGTCATAACCAAGACATGTTGCCAGTTTCAGCTCTCGGGAACAGGTGTAGCTGTAGTAGATACAGTTGTGCAAATTGCACGATGGTTCTAAGTGTAGGGTAAGAGGAGAAAAACCCATTTGACTTCTGATTCTTTTTAGCGCAGTAAAAGTAAAGGTTCACCTTGCAAATACGTGCTAGTCGTTTCTGGCTCTAGGGGGCGGTGCTCATCTCCATTACAAAGCCAAAGAGCCAGCGCTGTCCGAAGACGTCTCCATGGTCATGTGGCCAGTATGACTAAACGCCAAAGGCGCACAGAACGCTGTTCTCTTCCCACCAAAGTGGTCCCTAATTTTCTACTTGCATTTTTACATGCTTTTGAACTGTTAGGTTGGCAGAAGCTGGGAGAAGTAACGGGAGCTGGCTTGTTACACAGTGCTAGGGATTCAAACCACCAAACTGCCAGCCTTTCTGATAGATAAGCTCAACATCTTAGCCACTGAGCCACCTTTTTTTAGCACAGTTCAGCCTCAGTTTTATACATTTGAATATTGACATGTACTAGCCATTTCTATAATGCTGAATCAACAAAACTCAAAGTCAAAGTTTTGTATGTATGTATGTAGGTAGGTAGGTAAGTGTGTGTGTGTGTGTGTGTGTGTGTGTGTGTGGTATTCAGCTTTGCTCGGGTATTTTCCCACATCATTGTAGTTGTGCTTTTAAGGTTATTTTTAAAGTTGCTTTTAAACTACAATGATGTGGGAAAATACCCGAGCAAAGCTGAATACCATACATGTAAGTACCCGCGAAAACTTAAGAAAATATATATATATATCTATCTATCTTACAGAAGCCTGATGATGGCAGATGAGATTCTGCTGAAATGTTGCTACAACTTTAAAAGCACAACTACAATGACGTGGGAAAATACCCGAACAAAGCTGCATGCCATATACATACATACATACATACATACATACATACATACATACTCCATCTCAAGCATGTCTCAAAGGTGCTTTTCAAAAGGCCTGGGTATTTTTTCTTGAGGAGGAAGAAGAAAATGTTTTGCTTGTCCTTTAAGAAGCTTCATCAGTTCTGATGGGGCGGGGGGGCATGGAAGGATATGTATTGACAGTTGAGACTGGATGGTGGAAGGATGGAAGGATCAAATTTCTTTGCAGTCATCTCGTTGTTAGTACTCTCTCTGAGAGCTCTTGAGGCCACTTAGGGGTTTGTTTCTCTGTGCCTTCGTGGCCACCTGAATCAGAGTGCATTACTCTAGATCAGGTTATGTTGAGCCCACTGAAGAGCAGGTTCCAGGTTATCTGCATCTGCATCTGATGGCATTGGGGTTTCATCTAAGCATTTGAGAAGTAGGGGTGTTGACTCTCGGATCTTCTCCATGATCTGCCCATAACCTCTCTGTGGAGATTCTTAGTCATCCAGGTTATAGTTGTCTCAAAGGTGCTTTTTCAAATGGCAACTGGACTGTTGTTGTTGTGGTTTGCTGGCGGCAATCTCTGAGAGCAAGGACTCGGATGAGGGGCCTGCGTGTGATGCAGGGATGGGGCCAGGACTATCGGAGAGTGGGGTGCTGCCAGGTCGTGGAGTCTGGCAGCAGTGACGAAGAGGACCTGGGGAGCCTGTGCTCAGTGCTGAGGGCTGCTCGAAAGAAAGAGCAGCTGAAGCAGCATGGGTGACTTGGGAGTAAGGCTGGAAGGTGGTGGCCCCTCCCATAAGGGATAAAAGCCAGCCTTCGGGGTTGGCTTCTTTGCAGGAAGAAAAGAAGTTCTTCCTACTCAGAGTTCTTGTGGAAGCCCTGATTGCTCCGGTTTGTT